ATGGAGCTTGGCATAATTATGGGTGCACATTAAACAATGAATTACTTTTCAGTACAGATTTCTTTTGATCCCCAAAAGGCCAAGGTTGATATCTGTTCAGCTCACCTAGTATCCCCTGCATACAGCCTTGTGGCTGACACAAAGGAAGCCCTCAATTACATTTGAGGAATGGATGAACTGTGTGTTTTGGGTGTTCAGAGAAGAATGGATATGTGGTGAGGGTTGAAAAGTGTCAACCTCTAACCTAACAAAGGAAGTTCTATGAGGGATGGAGAATGGTGGTTTCCTCTGGGACAAATTTTCTGAGCCTTTGCTAAGAAAGAGAACAAGGCCATTTGTAGGTTACCACTTGCAGGAGTTGGATGAAAAGGTAAAAGGAACATTGATAGAGAGCAGTGGGTTCTTTAAAAGTAGGAATTCCCTAGGAGCACACAGATAGAGAGGGGCATTAAGTACGTGTTGGATGCACATTTTCTTTTCCAGCAGAACTGCATTTTACCTGCTGGCAAAGAGTAACAATTCACTCATAGCACAGGAAGAAAGCTGCTGAAAATCAAAGAAAGCAGCAGCCCACGAGCGAGTCCCACCTCCCATCCCCTAGACAGAAAACCTGGGAAGAAAGTGCTTTAAATTCAGCTCTGCTGTTTTCTGGGAGATGATTCTGTGGTAAATTATTGAACATTTCATTTAAGCTTCATAAATAAGAAACTCAGATGAAAACGTTAACATGTTAGATCCATTTGGCAACATATAATTTCTGTCTTACTCCCTCGATCTGTCACCCTTCATCTACGTTGGAGAATTTCTACTTCATTATAGGCAATTGAAGGTCTCAATCAGCTGCCTGCAAAAAGTAGTTTGTGTTGCAAAAGTAATCTAATTTCTCCAACTGAGGATGTACCCGGGACTCACCAAAAGGTATTGTCCGAGATAAATATGTGTTTGGAACAGATCTGGAGGAGTGCCAGTCACCCACTCAGTAGAGGTGGGCACCCACTCCAGCGAGGGCAAGCTGCTCACTGACACCTGGACACCCTGCTTTCCACCAGAGTCAACAGGCTAAGCCCCAGCAAACCAACAACTACTAGTGTGCCTAGAACCAACCTGTGCATGACTGGGACACTTTCTACAGCTGATGAGACCACTTATATAAAAGAACTCAAAACCTGAAATGGCTCTCAACGCTGGGTAATAATAATCCTGGGTACTACCACTATGGGTCAAGAGCTGTCCTTTAAAAATATCAATGCTTTTAATCCTCACAATGACCTTCTGAGATAGAAACTATTATTATTCCCCTTCTATAGAAACTGAGGCCCAAAGATGCTAAGTCATCAAAATCACACGCATACAAGGTTGCAGACCTTGAAGATAAAAGGTAGTATGTCCGCCTTCAAAGTCTGTCAAAATTCACACTTCCACTCATGTTAATACTAGCTTTAAAAAAAAGAAAAGAAAGAACTGAGAGGTAGGCAAGGGGAGAAACTGGCTTGGGAAGGAAAAGTAATCCCTTCCTGGACAAGACTCAGGACTGCATTCCCTCAAAGGAGCCTGTCCAGTAAGAACAGAGTAGGGCCTGCCATGCTCATGTATGGGATATTTATTGTGCAGGCTGTACTACAGGGGGGTTGTATCCCCTGGCAGCATCTATCCCCTTGGCTAAACCAAGCCATAAGCTATTTGTTAAGGGAAGGCTGCTCCAAGCAAGTCCTGTTAAAATCATTCCCAGGACCTCAGGAATCTCGGGGAAGTCATAGCCACTCTAGGGACCAGGCGAGGCTGAGGCCTGAGAAAGGCCTTCCCCGTCCTGCTAAAACCCTGAACCTGAGGCCAGAAGTTTGAGAATCATCTCTGCGTCTCATTGCTTTTCTTTATAAAAAGGTGGCATACTAAGTTGAACAATGTTCTCCCCAAAATTCATGTCCTGCTGGAACCTGCAGATATGACCTTATTCACAAAGAGGTTCTTTGGAGATGTGATCAATTTAAGATAAGATCATACTGGATTCCGGTGGCCCCTAAGTCCAGTGACTGGTATCCTTATAAGATGAGAGGACACAGTCACACAAAGGCAGAGGTCACAGTGAGATGGCTATAAGCCACAGCTGAGCATTGCTGGCGACTACCAGAAGCCAGGAAGAGGCAAGAAAGGGTTCTCCATTGGACCTTCAGAGGGAGCATGACCCTGCTGACTCAGCGTTTGGACCTCTGGACTGTGAGGTCTACACTGTCCAGAACTATGAGAGAAGGTACTTTCTTTGTTTTAAGCCACCCATTTGCAGTAACTTATAATAATAGCCACAGGAAACAACATGGATCAAAAGAAGGCTTCCAATCCTGGGGTCATAATGAGGCTCCAGAACACATTCAATTTTAAAAAGCACATAAATGTAGGATAACATTATCATAACTCATGGCCCTGGGGAGCCCATACAAGACCCCACAGAAAACCCACCAGGAGTCATCTGACTGACTATTGTTGGAGGCCCTCAAGGATGATAGCTTGATTTTTGTTGCATTTTCCTCAGTCCTGGGCTTAAAAATGAAGACAAGTTTGACACAAGTTGTTGTAGATGGAATAAAAGTTCCCAAAGATGTCCACATTCTAATTCCTAGCACTTGTGTCACTTTACCTGGCAAGAGAGGCTTTGCAAATGTGATGAAATTAAAGATCTTGAGATGGGGAAAATCATCCTATACTATGCAGATGAGTCCAACGTAATCACAAGGGTCCTTGTAAGCTACATACACAGAGGTCAGAGTAGATGTGACAGTGGCAGCCACAATCAGAGAGAGAAACAGATTTGAAAATGCTAAGCTGCTGGCTTTGAAGATCGATTAAGCAGCCACCAGCCAAGAAGTGCAGGCAGCCTCTAGAAGCTGAAAAGGGTAAAGAAACAGATTCTACTCAAGGGCCCCAGAGGGAATGCAGCCCTGCTAAACCATTTAGACTTCAAACTTCCTGGACTATAAGATCATAAAGTGGCATTGTTGTAAGCCACTAAATTGTGCTGATTTGTCACAGCAGCAATAGGAAACTAATACATAGGTCAAACAATTGGCCTGAAAGTAAATGTGGAAGAGAGTAAGGAGAGACCCCAGAGAATTTCAGACATTCTGGGAGCCTGTCAGAGATTCCTTCTAATGAACCCCAAAGGGGTTTCCTCAGAGGCTTGTGCCCTTTAGTTGGACAGTTTTTATATTTCTTCCACCTTCCTGGAATCCATCAGAAGTCATCCTAAGATGGGAGCCATAGCTCTAGATCTAAATTGCTGAGCTTAGTAGGGTCACTATGCCATTACATTAAAGGCTAGATGGCCCTATATAAAGGAAAAGTCCATCCACATTGCTCTCTAGAAGGGACACCAGAGTCCATACATAGCTTCAGTTCCTATCTATAAAAAATGAAGTGTGGGGCATAACCTTTATCAATGAAAGAATCTAAGAGCCAGCAGGTTAAAATCACTATTTCAATTTTGAAATGTGACTTTCTCCCCAACCTGCCCTTCCATTCTAGTGTGCTCATGCTTAGATTTTTCATGCTCTAATTTCTTACAAGTTTTGTTTATTCTTGCCTAGAGGCTGCCAAACTCCAAGCAGTCATACAAATGGATCCAATGACAAATGTGCTAGATCCACCAGATCGACCTTGTAAACAGCTCATAACTGCTAAACTATACAATACGACTTCTACGTTGCATTCTGAAGTCCCCTAGACCTTCTTCTTATCCTCTTTGTGGGAGGCTATTACTAGTTCCTCCCAGTGGAAACCCTTGTTGGCCATATTCATAGCAATCCTGCTGACCTTATAATTTGGCCCCTGTATTCTTAACTGTTTCTTTGGCTTTTCCAGACTCAAAGCTAAATGGCTACCAACATGACAATGCCTGGTGCCTATCAAAGGCCTTTAGATAGACTCTCTGTAGAGTAACTCTAACTGCTGATCACAACCATGACTCTTCAGCTGGAAGTAGCCAGAATGGTCTTCACCCTTTCTTCCTCACAGCAGTTAGGGATACTTCTTCAGAGGGGGGAATATTGCAGATAGGTAAGTTAATTAGATATCTTATAAGCAGTTAGACAGGGCCAGCCCACAAGGAGCCAATATGGAGGACAGTCAAGGAGCCAAGATGGAGGACAGTGAAGACACAGTCACTGAAGGCCAAAATTGTAAAAGAAGAGAAACTGCCACATCCATGTAGGATGAATAGCAGTGACGGATATTCTAAATAGGCATCAGTCTCCTGGGTGAGGGGCCAAGGTCTTAACCCAGCCTCTCCAGGAGATACCCCTGACCCACCCTTACTAAAAATCCTTGTAGACTTGCTCCATGGCTTGCTCCCCCATTGGACCCCCATTTAATCAGTATTACCTGGGTGACTGTACTTGTAATCTTATTGGCTGGTTGTGGTTTTGCCCCACCTCATGCCCACCTTGTAAATTTCCATTGGGTCTTCTAGTTTTGTTTCACGTTGTACCTGCCTCACCACATGGCTTTTCTGAATAAAACATCTTTGAAAAGTGGGGTGAGTGGGCAACCCACTTTCCGGTCCCCCTTCTTTCTCTCAATAAATTTCTCCTAATCAAAAAAAAAAAATGAGGTGTGATCCTCATATACAATGTTCAAGAAATGCTTCAAAGACCCATGTCCACACTGTAGCTCTCAATTCCATGTTTCCCCAATTTACAATTCAAGCAAGTTCTACCCAACCTGAGACTCTAAGCACACAGGTATCCAAACTCACTGACAAAGGTAACCTCACTGCCTTTATGAGACCTGCAGCAAAAAGGAAGTTGGGCAAGGGCAAAGTCATCTTATTGACTTGGTATGGATTTCCCAAGTAGGAAAATGGGAATTTCTAATAGATGAAATTAGAGGCAGACTCAGGGAAGACTAAACATAAGGCCTGAACAGAAATCTAAGATTATTTTCTTCCCTTTCAGCCTTCCCTATCTCCAACACACACAGAGAATAATGTTTGTTTCTGCATCTACTGATAGATCTGGTACCTGGCACTGAGTACGGAGTTGGAATATCTGCCGTCATGAACTCACAGCAAAGTGTGCCAGCCACCATGAATGCCAGGACTGGTGAGTAGGAGGATGAGGAGGAACAGCAAGCCTGAAAGCTGAGGAGCCCTAGGGATCTGATCTCAGAAGTCCATGCCCCTTAGTGAACAGGGTCCTGGTGACAACCATCAGTCTAGTGACAACATTCACCTATGAATAACAAACCTCTTATGTCAGACATGCAGGATAGAATCCCATCACCCATAGATGTATGCTTGGTTCTCCCAATATGAAGGCCTGCCCAGAGCTTTGCAGGGCAGAGGCAGAAAATCCCAAAAGGCTAGTACTACGGCAGGCTATATTTCTACCTAGATCACATGACAGCAGGCAGAATGGGGCAAGTGTCCTCAGCCTGCACAGCAGAAGCCCTCATAAAAGCCAATGGAGGAAGTAATTTATTAAAGCCAAGAACAGTTAAAAAAAAAAAAACAGTCTATTTGAAACCCTGCTGCTCTAGAGCCAAAAGTTTTGTTTCTAAACCCTAGGTAAATTTCAAAGTCATTCCAGTAGCTTAGATAGAAGCAGTCTGGGCTGAGTTGGGCTGGGGACTATCGACCAATCCCTGTCGCCAAGGTTCAGTCCAGCACAGACAATCTTACTAGAGGAGCACATGGACAGGAGTCTCCAGGAGTCCTCAGATCAAGTCATCTGTACACTCATGGTTAGGCCAAGTCTAAATGACCTCATGGACAGAAACAGAAGGTAATCAAGGAAAACTTCCCTAGCCAGGAATGTCACATTCCTAATTGGCAGTGGCTCCAGTTTGTTCTGATTGATTTACTGAGAAAGGCTAAGTGAAAATGAATGTGGAGAGTCTGAAAACCCACAGCCAGCTTTGTCCCAGAGATAGGTGCATTCCAGTGGTGTCAGCCTTAATAATAATGTTTGCTGAGCCACTGGCCATCTTTCAAAAGGAAGCTGCTTAACAAAATGTGAGATGAGTGTCAACAATGACAAGCTAGAATTCGTGGTCAGCAGTCTTGCTGGTAGCTTGGAAATACATTGGGTGATCCAATAAATCCTGGTCATTCTGAGGAACCTGTGTAACATGAGTCACTTATGTTGATCCACAGAACTTGACATCCCCCGAGACCTCATGGTGACAGCCTCCTCGGAGACCTCCATCTCCCTCATCTGGACCAAGGCCAGTGGCCCCATTGACCACTACCGGATTACCTTTACACCGTCCTCTGGGATTGCCTCAGAAGTCACTGTGCCAAAGGACAGGACCTCATATACACTGACAGATCTAGAGCCTGGGGCAGAGTACATCATCTCCATCACTGCTGAGAGGGGTCGGCAGCAGAGCTTGGAGTCCACTGTGGATGCCTTCACAGGTACTAGCATGCTAGAAATCTTAGCCATGTTCAAGCATCAATGGATCTTCACATAAGAAGGTCATCCAGGCAATCCATTCTTCCAAAGTCCCATTTCCTTTAGAGAAAGGAAAAAAAGATGGGTAGGAAAAGAAGAGATAGAAGGAAAACTAAATACATAGATCAAGTGGAAATTGTTGGAAGTAAAGAGGAGAGGTGAACAAGAATGCTACATGCCTGAAAATGTAAATCTGGTGCCCTAAAGCCTGGACACAACAGTTGATTCTGTCCATCTTTCTCTTTCTGCACTAACTCAGTAGACAATCTAAGGATCCATGGAATCATATTAAATTCCTTCCAGAACTGAGATTTTTAAATCTGAATCGGTACAATGAATAACTCACAGAAGTATTTCTGGTTTGATCAGAGTTGACTTTTTTTTTTGGTACCAGGGATCGAACTTGAGTCCTTGCGCTTGCGCAGCAGGCGGCGAAACCGCTGAACTAAATCCTCAGCCCCTAAGAATTGACTTTTTAGAATATGGCTTGGGAAAAGTAGAATAGACAGGACTGGAGTGTAGGGAGGTGGAACCTCTGGGCCAGTGAGTGAAGATGTAGCTCTTAGCAAGGAGACCAGGTCCTTTTACTCAAGTGGCTCTTTTAGCTCAATGTCCTGCCACATCACCTATGTTTCAGAACCATCCACCTTCTGTATTTTTCAGGCTTCCGCCCTATCTCCCATTTGCACTTTTCTCATGTGACGTCCTCTAGTGTCAACATTACCTGGAGTGACCCATCTCCCCCAGCAGACAGACTCATTCTGAACTACAGTCCCCAGGATGAAGAAGAAGAAATGATGGAGGTCTCCTTGGATGCTACCAAGAGGCATTTTGTCCTGATGGGTTTACATCCAGCCACTGAGTATATTGTCAACCTGGTGGCTGTCCATGGCACAGTGACTTCTGAGCCCATCATGGGCTCCATCACCACAGGTAAGACTGGCAGACTTGACAGCAATTGATGAAAAGGGTTCTCACAACAGCCTTTGACAAGTCAATGAAATGTGGAAAGAAAAATGCTCAAGCTGTAGGGGACTGCCTCTATGGCTACAGGGGATCTGTGAACTGCTCTAGAACAGCTAATTCTTCCAGTGCTACATACGATGCATAAGATAGGAAACTCCAAGGTAGGACAGTCAATGTCTTGAGGAGGTTAAGGCTTGAATGCATTGGTCCAGAGATCTACCAGCCTAAGAGAAAGCCCTGAAGAAAGCTAGTTTCCAAGAGGAATCCCTCTGCAGTGAAGAGGCATGTGCTCCCACACTGGAGAGATATCACTTGACTGCCCAACAAGGTCACTAATGCAAATGATCTTTCCTCAAAATAACACGGTACTAGCATGCAAATAGGTAGTGATCTTGCACTCCGAAAGTGGGGCTGATTTGTACACTGTTTGTAGAACACAATGTACAAATCTCACACAAAACTCTGAGATGAATTGGGTTATTTTTATCTCACCACTTCCAAATCTAATCCCAAATATGAGGTATATATGGTAAGAACATATGTGTCTAGGTACTGCTACATACTGACAAGAACTCACAAGCTGGACTAATGGATTAAACACTCATATGATTCAACTCTGCAATTCCCTAGCAGTCAGTAAAAGAAAAAAGTACACAGTCTAAATGAAACACCATTCAGGAAAGTGGATTTGTTCTGGACTTGTGCTCTGAAATCCAACTACAGTCAATAAACAATTTTTCCAAATTGAACCAAAGTGGCTGCTAAAAAATAAGAGACAGCAGCAAAGTTGGGTTTTTCCAAAAGAAGTTTCCCCTAGAGAAAATAACTGTGTTATTCCCAATTCAAAACAAAACATGGCACTTACAATGAAGTTCCTAGTTGGCCTTCAGATAGGTAATATTTGCTGCACAGACACAGATCTTGCCATCTTAGCTTTCTGTTGCTAAAATGTTCTCCAGAAATATGGCTTTGGCCATGTCCACAGGTTTCATGGGAGACATAAGACTGACGATGGTTTTAAGGTTGATCAATTACATAGTAGTGTCTTGTTGGCCTCTGGGACACTACTGACTCTTGATCAACACAGAACTAGGGATAGAAATTCCTTTTTTACACTATTCTTTCTTTCTTTTAATCACAACCACCTGGATCTTTGTAGGAATTGATCCTCCCAAAGACATCACAATTAGCAATGTGACCAAGGACTCAGTGATGGTCTCCTGGAGCCCTCCTGTTGCATCTTTTGATTACTACCGAGTATCATATCGACCCACCCAAGGTAATAACATAACTTAAGTTCTCAAAAATAAATGGGACTTGGAGCTTGGTTTAGACTATTATGGGAAAACTACCATAGCCCACAGGCCATCAGCTCCTGCCTGCATTTTTCCTCCTACCTGTGGCATGATCCCTCATAATGAGAGTGTATCGTGAAGGGCAGACTTACTAAAATCTCTCAAAATAGGCTGGACTACATTCACCCAGAGAGTGGGCCCTTCACTAGCAGAGGTAGCAGTCACCATTATCTAGAACATGCAGTGAGAAACAAAGAGCTCTCAAAGAATTTGCAAAGATCCAGGCCATTTTACTGAGAAAGTCCAAGACTCAAACTCAACGGAGCTAAAGACCCCACAGAGCCAGATGGAATCTTGGAGGGGACCACAGTGACATGGTCCTGTTTCTGCTATTCCAGCCAAGTTATGAGTCAGAGGAAGTTGGCAAAGACCTTGCCTGAATCCTGCCAGTTCTTGCTGGTACATGTGGCATTGCTAACAAAGTAGAAGGCAGGCTTAATTTTAGTCAGGGAAGAACAGCTTCCCAGAGTATCCTGTCTCTGGGCTGCATATGTGCCCTCTTTGCAATGTGCCCTCAATACTACATGAACATAATTGCCTCAGAGACCAACTTGTTAGAAAACCAATTAATAAATACTTCATTTCTCTCTGCTCCAAAAGCTCATAAAATGAAGGGTAGGACCTGCATGCAAGGTCTCTTCAAACTCCAACGTGCCAAGCCTGTGAAACACTTATCCCTGCCTGCTGAGTTTTGGGTCTCACATGCATCTGTGCTTCATGACAGAGTGCCCCATGTAGACTGTGCCATGGACCACGTTGATGAGGAAGCTGCAGACACTAACCATGGATTCTGCTTTTTCTTAGTGGGACGGCTGGACAGCTCAGTGGTGCCCAACACTGTGACCGAATTCACTATCAGCAGGCTGTACCCAGCTACTGAATATGAAATCAGTCTCAACAGTGTTCGAGGCAGGGAAGAGAGTGAGCGCATCTGCACTCTCGTGCACACAGGTAAGCATATCTCCCCATTGTGTGTCAAATCCAGACACCAGCTGAGGACCTGCCACAAACAGAAGAGGCAAGGAGTGACGTTCTTCCAGCTCACACCCAGGACACTGGTTCCAGGATCAGGGTTTGTGGGTCCATTCCTAGGCCTCCTCCAACTCACTATCATGCAGGATAATTTACAATTTCTTTCTCTACTGATCATCCTGTCTAATAAAAGCAGCTTGGCGAGTCATCCTCTAGAGGAGTCTTACTGCTTTAGATTAGGAATTTATTTCTAACATGAATAGTTCCCTTCCAAAGACACATGATAGAAGTGAATTCCAGAACAGATGAGAATATCTTGTCTTATTTTTCAGAAGACTCAGGGGAGGAAAGTTCACCTCAAAGAAAAAGAGTTATTATTCAAATAACATGAAAATTGGGATCATGAACTTGCTCATCATGTATGGCCAGAACCCACCAAGTAGGTCCACTTGCTCTTGCTTTGTGCTCCAGAGAGGAAGAAAGAATCAAAGGCCATAACTCACCTGTGGTGAAGGTAGTGGAGGTGTGCTGCTCCATACAGCATCCTCAGCCAATATGCAGGGACAGTGTGTAGCCCATGTCCTCCAGCCCTGTAATTCAATCCAGGCATCCTCTGCATTCTCAATCAGAAGAGAGGTGAAAGGAGGTGACAATCCTGCAGTATGGGAAAGTAAGGAAGAAGTCCCACTCACATGTCTTCCTCTGGAAAATAAGCCCCTTGGATGAGCCTGCAGCCAGGGCTCCTTTAGTAGCTCACCTGCTCCTTCTTCTCTGGCCTGTCAGTCACTGCACCATGCAGAATTAGCAAAGATCTACCACTGCAGTCACTAGAAGGCACAGGCAAATTTTTTTTCCTCGACTTCCAGACCAAACTTCCTAGTTAAGCCATCATTCTCACAGCAGATAGTAAACATTCAGCTTGCTTCATTAAGAGAACACCTGGATTTCCTGAGGCTGCTTATTTCCCTGGAGAATAGTATTTCCCAAATGAGGGAAATATGCCTTGGGATTTCTCATTGCTTTTATAGATATTCTCACAGGCATAGAATCAGCATCTATTGTTTTTTAGAATGGACAAAAAACTTTCAGAAATATAAAATACTATTTCTCTAGAGACAGCACAGAATTTCCTAATCTTTCCCAGTTTCCTTCCGGGTATGTGAATACAAATAACCCAGCCATGTTTTTTAATTCATCCTTGTCCTAACCCTCAAATTATTTATGATCATTAATGTATCTGGTCAATAAATGTTGGCCAGAAAATAGATCCAATGAGCCAGAAGAAGCCTCCTTCCCACCTTTCTGAAAATCCTAGAAAATTATGTTAAAGAAATGACCTTTTCTCACTGAAGACAATAAAGTGGATTTTAAAAGCCTCCTACCCCCAAGGTGAAAAAGAGCAGCAGCTCAAGTCAACACCTCGTTTCTCAGGCTCTTGGCCTTAAGCAGCAAGTATTTCTAAAGCAGACATTCAGTGGTGCAGCAAGCCAAACTGCCTTCCTTCAAGTTCAAATAGAGTTATTCTGACAACTTCCAATAACCAGATTGTCCTCAGAAGAATCTTTATTTGTTTGTTGTTGTTTTAACTCAAAGTCTCTGATCTCACAACTTTTAGAAAAGAGTATTCCTTCAGGATATCAAGCTTGTCTCCGAGAAATCAAGCCAACTGTAATTTAATAAGGGCTTCATTTGAGGAACTCTGAAAGCACAGACTGTGGACAAAATTCAAACTTTGAAATTATGAAAATATTTTCTAGTAGTTGCTTTGTGATGAAGGACACAGGCAAGCAAAAACAACAACAAATCCTTCAATTAGAGAACGGGGACAGATCAACAGCAGATCTTGGTTCCCAAAGGAAATTGTATAAACCTTAAAAACCTAAACTATTGTAGTAACACCCATTTCTAAAATAAATCCCAACTTTATGAGATTTATGGAAGAGAAGCGCAGTAATAAAGCAAAGGTGACAAGCAAGAATAGGAAAACAGTCCCATCACAAGGAAATTCTGTTCCCCCAACAAGCATTGTTGGCCTTCCCAAGCCTGTGAGAATCCCCTTGGCTCTCAATGCAACAAAAAGGATACGGTGAACTCATTCCAGAGTGAGCCTTGTGAGTAGTGAAGCAAGAATTCAGTAATTGTATATGACCTTGGAGGCAACCTGCTTTCCATGCAGCCATTCCTCAAGTCCTCCCTGAATACATTCTGAGTCCTTGGCACTGGGGAGGCCCCTGCACTTCCTGAAGTTCATCAATGGAGATCTTTCCACAAGGCACACTCTACATTCACGAAAGTGCAAAGAGACTGGGAAGCATGGTTATCTCATTAACTAAAGAATTAAAAACAATTTCTACATGTTCTTAGGTTCTCTGTCTATAACTGAGTGTCCAAAACACAAAGACTACCTTGAAATCCCCCCATAGCACCTTCTACAGTATCCTTCAGGTAAGCAGTTAATGGAGGAAGCTCTGGGGGCAATTGAAGGAGAACTGGATACTTGAGAGGAAGGAGGAATGGCAGATGAAGAGGCTGATGGACCCAAAGGGGAGAAAGAGAAGAGGTCTCTACCCCACTGCTTGTACAGCACAGCACTAGAAGTGCATCATGACTGATATTTCTGATCATTCACTCCACTTCCTCCCTGCAGTTCCTCTTACCTTTAACTGATACTCTCCCATTCTGTTTCAGCCATGGATAATCCTGTGAATCTGATTGCTACCAACATCACCCCAACACAAGCCCTGCTGCAGTGGAAGGCACCCGTGGGTGAAGTGGAGAACTATGTCATTGTTCTCACACACTTCACAGGTGAGCATCTTCAGGCCTATGCACCAGCCAGGAGGGGATGGGGGGGACCAGGTCTGAAGGCCAGTATGAAAGTAGAGAAACCAAACATGTTGCTGAGCTGGGCATAGTAGACCATTCCTGTACTCTCAGCACTCTGGGAGGCTGAGGCAGAAGGATCACAAGTTCGAGCCCAGCTTGGGCAACTTAGTGAGATTCTGTCTTAAAATTTAAAATTCAAGAAAGGGATGGGGATGTAGCTCAGTATGACGGTCCCATGTTCAATCTCCAGTGCTGTAAAAAAAGGCATTTTGTCAACCTGAGGGACAAATTGGAAATTCCCCTGCTTTCCTGCTTCCCTGCTTCAGTAACACTATAAATCCCTCAAGATATCCTCAAACTCTGCAAACTATCAACTATAGGAATTGCAAAAGCTAAACCTGAAAGGTGTGAGAAGACCTGTAACCAAGGGAAAATACAGAGAAATAACACTAGAACTCATAATTGAGCAAAAACTTGCCCTAAAATACCACAGACAAGAAAGCAGAATTTTTTTGGCTATGTACAGAGCAAGAAAAACATGGAAGTCATAGGACCAAGCCCAGAGCAGATAATAAGTGATAAAATATGACAAAGAATTAAGAGCTGTCAAACTTTTCTATGGTTTTGGTCTCTTCTCTACCCATTCCAGCCCAAAAGGCTGAACCAACATGAAATATTGAATTTCAATGTCATCTACATCATGCTTGTTCGCCTTGCATTATTTGAAGTTGAATAGAGAAGCTCAAAGGCTTAGAAAAATTGTTTCCCTTCCTAAATTAAACATGTGATCACAGAATTGTTGCAGGTTATATTCAGGAATGTAGAGAACAAAGATACCAGAAAACAGAAGGCAGGCAGATGTCTTGACTTCTTAAAAAGTGTCAGGAAAAGCCAATTCTGTAAGTTGCAAAGAACTAAAATGACTGGGAAAGTAAAAACGAAAACAGACTATTAAAACTATGCAAATGCAAAAGGAGTCAGGTTCACTAGGAGTAAGTTCCATCAAAACTACTTTATGTTCTTGTTATTAGCTGGCATATTTGTGTTTCAGCAAGGCATTAGAAATCTGCATATCACTTAGTCCCTACTTAAAGATGGAAAATACACGATGGGTTTAGTTAGAGTTAGCTGGAACTGTAGCTGATTGAGTGACTCTCATCAAAGAATGGATATCACTACTGTGGGTATATCTGAACCTCCCTGTATTCATGCACAACTCATCTCAACTCCCTCCACCCTTCTGTGCATGTCACGATCTGCCATTCTTCTCTCTCGCCATGCTTTCTCAAGCATTTGCACATGTTGTTTCCTCCACCAAGAAATTATCTCCCTGCAGGTCTACTAGAAAACCCACCCTTCAAATCTTACTTTCAACACTATCTTCTCTGTCAAAGCTTCCTTGGTTCCCCTAAGCAGTAAGAGACACCTACTCGCAGGTACAAAGCACACAGTTCCATCATAGAAATTCACTTCTATTCATTCAATGAATACTTTTGATTCTGTCCCATAGGGAATATACTCTATAAGGTTATAAAGATTCAGAATCAAAGCATGAGGTCTTATCTTCATGAAACTAATGTCTAGTGATGATGCAGAGAAGTTAGTAATTACAATGATGTGTACAGTGTCATAATATGGCAAACATGGAACATGGTGGACTACGTCTGATGGGCCACTACGATTTGGGGTCAGGGTACTGAGAGAAAGAAAGATGGTAAAGGCAAAGAAGATGAAGAGGAGAAGAAAGAGAATGCCAAGGAAAAGACTAGCCTGTCTGCATTCACAGAGCTGTGAGAGACCATGAAGAGTATGAGAAACTGCCATTGTTTAGTATGATGAAAGCAGTGACTGATGGCAGGACACCATGAATGGGGGTATTAAAAAAGTAGTCATTATGGATGTTCTTCCAAAGAGTTAGTTTGGATTTTAACTCGTTTGTATGCCTTTCTGTATATTTAGACCAAAATTAACTTGAAACTTAAGGCCCTATCTAGTGTGAAGGTGTGCTCAATAAATTTGATTCAATGCTGAATGATTTTGAAATATTCTAATTGCCTAATAAAGGAATTGGCCCTGATATAATGAACAGTTTTATCAACAGCTTGAATGAACTCAGAGAAGACATGCTTACTAAATTTGTGTATAAAACAAAACAGGGGTTAATACAATCCAAATTCCAAAATACTTTAATAAACTAAAACAGTGGCCTGACTCAATCAACAAGGCAAAAGAGCAATGGATATAAATGCAAATCTCTGCCCATGGGTGTAAAAACTCAACCACAAAAAATTGGATGGGGTGGCGATAAACTAGTTCTCTTATTAGTACTTATCCCAGAGTGTGACGACAATAACAAATAGTTCCCCTAAAGCTTAACAGATTAATAAAACAACAAAAATAGAAGCAGAGGCTGACCATTTGTTTGATTGGCCAGTGCATCTCAATTCTCCTCCAAGTATTGTTCTCAGTTCTGCTCCAAGTATTGCATTTCAGCAGGGACACTTACCAATGTCCCGATTACTTGTTCAGAGAAAAGCAACCAAGACTGTGAAGATTTTAAAATTGTCACATAAATGTAATAAGAGGTGAGGGCTAAATTTTCTAAGTATGAAGAAGACAGCACTTAATTAGGAAGAGCTGTAGGAAGGAAAAGCTCATAGAGACCAAATATTTGGCTTATTCTTTGTAACTCTAGAGACCTGAGTAGTAGAGAAGAAATTTGGCCTCCACATATGGAATATTTTTCCCAAGGTGCGAAAAGAAGTGAGAGAGGATTGTTGTAGGTATAAGAAGCTAAGCTCCATAACCTATAAAAGAGTTACTCCAAAATTCTCCGGCACCCAACGTTTGTGAAATCCCATTAGATTTGATAGGTCTTTGCTAAGTCACATAGTCTCATCGAATCCCTATCCATCTACATCTGACTTCAGTTGCTGGAGAAACCATCCTGGTTGATGGACTTAGTGAGGAATTCCAGCTTGTGGACCTGCTTCCCAGCACCCACTATACTGTCACCATGTATGCTGCCAGTGGCCCTCTCACCAGTGGCACCATCAGCACCAACTTTTCTACCCGTGAGTACATGGTCTTCTGCACGCTTGATATGCCTGGAGGATTTTGTAGATCCTAAAATTGACCAGATAGATCATAGTTATAGGTTTTGGACAGCACAGCCTTGAGCTCTTCTTATTCTGGCCAGCGGTGGCCCAAATCCAGTGAAAGTCCCCTGCAGCTGTCTCCCATTGGTGCATGTCTCTTTTCTATTCTCAATGGGATCTATGTGACAGTGGTAGAACCAAGAGGGCCCAATACTAAAAATGCACCTGGCCTAGAAAATTCTGATGGATACTAAAAAGCTAGATGGGGGGTTGAGAAATGGTGAGTGGCATCATGAGCAGGAAATAATAGACAAAGGTAAAATGTAGGATGTTTTAAGTTCAAGCATGAATTCACAAACATTGTAGTTGAACAGGGCCAGGGTCCTAGGAATAGAAGATCAGATTGGAAGATGTCACTCCCAGGCCCAGAGGCCCAAGTAAGGGAAGTGGGGAAGTAGTTACAAGAACGACCACAACACTCTATGATTATCTTCTGATCCAGGAGCACCCTTTTTGTCCCTGTCCAAGTCAGAATTGGGGTCAGTATGTGAGCAGCCCTGTGACCACAAAGGTGGACAAAGAAATCACTGTATCTGAAATGAAGTAGGCTGGAAAGAGAGGCTCACTCTGGCGTTTTCTCTCCTTTGCAGTCCTGGACCCTCCAGCAAACCTGACTGCCAGTGAAGTCACTAGACAGAGTGCACTGATCTCCTGGCAGCCTCCCAGGGCAGAGATTGAGAATTACATTTTGACCTACAAATCTACCGATGGAAGCCGCAAAGTAAGAAAAGGGGCATGCCCCTTTCTTCCTTGCAAGGCCATGTGGAAAGTGACGGAGGAATGACCTGTGGAAATTGGAGGGAGGGGGAAGGAAGCAATTCATAGGAAACCAACTGGGTTTCTCATCCTGGATACACAGCCTACTGTTGAGGAAAGATCCCTAGTCTGCAAACCCCATCCCCTAGGTGCCATGGCCCCTGGCTCTACACAAGCGGAGGCAGAGTACTAGCCCTCTCTGAGCCTTAGTGTCTTCTCAAGGCTCTAGTCTACTCCTGCAGCATCACTAGGTGTGGTGATGCTTCCCATATTATGACATAAAACACTGGAAACTCCCACTACATGGTACTGAAATGACTTTTCTAACAGGCCAAGAAAGTGTGAGTTGGGTACCAAATTCAGCAGGATGTTATGCCTCAACAAGCATTATAAGGGCAACGTCTATATAGGCTACAATAAAGAATGAAAATTTTTGTTTTACGTCATCAGTCAACACAATCTGGTAGAGCACTGGAGTTCAAATTTTTGTTTGCAGTGGGATCCTTTTTAAGAAATTATGTGCAAAATCTAAATATACAGAAAAAATTAAAGCAGAGCTAGTTTTTTTGATAGGAGTAGGGAGGTCTAGGATCCTACTTTCTTGGCTTCTTCTGCTGCTCTCAAGCAAGCCCAGTGCAATCTGAAAGCCCCTGGGTTCAATAATCCAGGCGCCTAAATTTACCTCAGGGTACATTCGTGAGATAGGAGCCAGCCTGAACCTCACATGAGAGCCATCCTTTCTGCTCACTGGCACAGTTTTCTCCTTATTGTAGGCCGGAGAGGACAACAATGGCCACTGCAATCCTGCAACTGGCGTAGAATTTGAGCTTCCCTTCCCTACTTCCCATGTCACAAGCTGCTTGCTCCCTTCTACCTCCCTTCCTCTGGCTCTGTGTAGGAGCTGATTGTGGATGCAGAGGACACCTGGATCCGATTGGAAGGCCTGCTGGAAAACACAGACTACACAGTGCTCCTGCAGGCAGCTCAGGATGCTATGCGGAGCAGCCTCATCGCTACGGCCTTCACCACAGGTGAGGCAATTACAGCACTTTGATGCCTCCTCCCCTATGTGACGTCTGGCTCCTCCGCAGCCTCTGCTGAGCTTGGACTGGGGGGAACCTGCCAGAGATACTCCTTCCTGCTCCCTCTCAAAGGTGTTTGCAGAACCCCCTCACACCACCAAGGTAATGACAAGAGCCAGGGACCCAAATCCCTGATCTTTCTGGACCAACTAATGCAACAAGTAAAGACACAGGTTCCTTCTAATTCCATTTTCCTGTATGCTTTTCCAGAAAAGTTTTTCCTTCTCTTCTTCCTCTGCCGCTTATATTCAGAGACTCGTTCGTAGCAGTAGTAAACTCTCGATATTAAATCGACATTGCTTTTCCATACACAAAACATTTTTGCAACTCCGCGGTCTCAAGTCAGTCCTTAAAACATCTAGTAAGAAAGACTTTTTTTCCTCATTTTATACTTAATGAGTCCAAGGTGCATGGAAGTCAAAGACTTGCAGGCTAGTGAGTGACTAGGTCAGAATTTGAACCAAGCTTTCTACTTCTGCTTTTAACTGTCCCTCCAGCCTTCTTCCTTTAAGTCAGCAGAAGATATTTTGAAAATACTCTTAAGGGATCAAAGTCTTGTATCTATAACAGGAAATAACCTAATATTTACCCTTTGGTGACACTTGCCAGGCATTGTCCTACACATTATCTAATAATGATAATTATTAGATAGTGATAATTATTATCTAATTAAATTCTCATGATAGCCTATGTGGTATGGACTCTTATCTCTGTTTTTTAACAGATGAGAAAATTAGGCCACAGAGACATGAGAAAACTAATCCAGTATCCCACAGCTCTTAGGTGGCAGAGCTGGGATTTGACCCAAGATGTTCCTGCTCCAGGATGTATTTGTTAATATTCCTCTCTGCCACCTTCCCTGGTGCCTTTCTACAGTTTGTAATGTAGGACTTTACCAAGTCCAGCCCAGACTGAATTCTCCTTGCCTCATATTCTGGAGCATGTGTGGGCAAATGTGAGCCTATCTGTCACCCTTAGATGCATGTCTGCCTACATACTGAAAGTTCCAGGCTGATTGGATCCTGTTCATGTCCCGGAGCTTGGTTTTCCATACCCAGGGGTGACAGGAAGTCCCTCTGCTCCATTCAGATACCTTCCTCTCAATGCACTCATTCTAACTCCAAATGAAAACACAGATCAAATATTCCACATCAAGCCCAGAGGTTCTGCAGGGTAGTGAATTTATGACTGACCTCTCTTTTCGTTTTTTATACTTTTCCATACTCCACAAAATGCCTCGTTTGTGTGCATTAATTAGGAAAACAAATATTTTATTTAATTAAAATGAAAAAAAAGATGAAAATAAGCTGTGGTCACACAACCAAGACATAAACCTGAGATGCATCTTTACCAAGTGGAATTTAGAGGACACTTGGTCTCTTTTCTGGGGTTGAAGTCAATTATGCTCACCTCTATGCTGCTTCATAGGTGCTTTATCTAAGAATTAAGGTGTCACTCTCTTCTTGTTTAAGCCCTTCCCTGAACATCTACAGGTTAATTAAAGGGTCTTCCACGGTCCCCTTTCCCATGCTACCACTTAAAGACCTATAGGTTGGAGTTTTCCACTGAATTAAGAATTTCTTCCTATAACAAGAACACAGATAACAGACACTTAAACAGAGCTCCCAAGTTTCATATTTATTAGGTTAAACTAATAATTTTATCCCCCAAATGTATGGGTTTCAGGGGTTGCTCAGGACAGTATTAGCTTTTCATTCCCATCCTCATGACGCCACAGCTAGGAGTGATGAGCAGAATGACAATCTGTACAAAGTTGCTGTGGTATCCGGCAGCTGGGCCTCACCCTGCCACTCCTGGAAAGGTAGACCAGCTCCTGTGCCTGTCACTGCCCTCTTAGGGCAGGTACAATAGTTTGGATGTGGGATCACAGATCCAGCTGGGGGCTCAGTAGGATCAAATAAACTAAGGGATAACAACTCTCATGGAAGTCTGGAGAGGAGGCCAGGCTAATGGCTTTGTTTGATGCGCAGTGTAAGGGACTATCAGGATGTATTTAGGTGGTTTTTTGTTCCTTTGTTTTTATAAGACTCCAATTACCCCTGGGCTCCAGCTCAGTAAGAAGAAAACTGAAGAGGTGAATGTCCTATGCAGTGAATACAGTTACTAACTGAACTGTTTGCTCCATGTAGAGTTTGGGGCACCTGAAAGACTCACCACCACTACCTGGTACTTAGCAAGGGGTATCCAAGTTTGGAAGTTTTTGCAGTGTTACTAGAAAGTTCAAATTTAAATGTAAGTCACAGATACATACCAAACCCTGCTAATTCTGTCTTGGAGATTTATCAGAACCCACTGAAACAACTGGTTTCTGAATTTAAAAAAAAAATTCTTGGGCAGAAATAATCCATGCAAAAGTCTCTTGCACAAAGCCTGACATATAACAAACATAATAAATGTTGGTTGAACTGAAGAGGTGCACGGGGCATAAGAAAAGGTCTCTAGTGAAGCAAAACTAAAGGAGGGGAGGAAGTTTCTTAATATCCCTCAAAGGGATGGCGCAGGCAAAGAGGTACAGCCTACAAAGAATGATGCCAAAGTCCCTATAATTTCAGGCTCTGTCTGCTACCCTCACGTAAATTTTCCTGAATAAATTACACTAGGCTACATAGTCATTTGCATGTTAATATTAATAAGTGTTCATTGCCAGTAGCCAGTCCCTTCACCCCCGCTACCTTTTCTACTTGTGCCAAGAGCAAATTTTATTAAGATGGAAGAGAATACAAGGGTATCCATTTCCTAAAGGTGGGGGTGAGGATGTTACGAAAGGATAAGAAGCAGAAATGAAGAGCAGAATATCTTCACTTACACTCAAATTGGAGTGCTGGCAGTCTGGACCCCCACTACTCCAGGCACGAATTCTCCTGCTGAGCATGTCTGGGGAACACTGGAAGCTCGTCGATGGCAAACCAAGGAGGATGGATTTAGAGGCTCATTTCCTTGTAACAGCTAACATCCTTTCTGTCCTCATTGTCAGTACCTGAGTTTTCCACTTAGCAGCATCCTATTCTTAGGAAGGGTTGCTCCCAGCTGATCATTCTGAGTGTTTTCTGTGCCCTCTGTGATGGACCAACAGAGCTTAAAGTTTGGCCCCAAAGTGACCTGCATCCACTGACAACCCCTCAGATGCCTGCCTAATGGTCTGGAACAGAGTTGAGATGTCAAAAAAATTAATAATAAAAATTTTAAAAGAAGGAGAAAAGAAAAGATCTGGCCTCAAAACCTCAAAACCCTCCTTTGATCAAGATGTCTCCCCTTGCTGTGTTCCTGCCACATAACATCAGCCCATTTCATTCTTTCCATCATGTTAATAGCTTCCTATCCTCTTGTCTCTGGTGTTTGCACAAGACTCTGGGGGGAATTAAATACAAGTAGTATGGAAGAGAAAAAAATATGGATACATTATTTATAATTTACTGTCACCTGAAATTTCATCCAAGGTCTACTTGTCTTTTAGAGACATGAATATAAATGAGGAAACAAATATTCCCTGCAGAGCAACAGAGACTGGTGAAATGATCTTCTGAGAGGCAGCTTTCATTGTCTCTTTTAATACTGTAAAAAGCAAACAAGGCTCTTACCAAAGCTCATCCTCAGAGATAGTGAACACTATAAAATAGGCTGTCTTGACCTTGAGGTTAAGCGAAGACTATCATTTGCAGAGGTACCCAGAGATGGGTAATGGGAAGTTTTCTTTTATTACCTTTGCTCTAGTCCCTGCTAGTGCACATCCAGGCTGAGCTGCTCTGTGGGCTTTTCGGGCTAACTCTGGAGTTTCCTCTGACACAGCTTCAGCTTTTGAGGTGGTGAAAATTAGTGAAGATTGGCAAAGTCTAGATCTGGAACAGTAGATGGTGGATCATGAAAATTTGGTTATCAGATACTTTCATTAGAAAGGAAATCCTGATGGTCACTACTCATTTCTATCAACGCATATGTGCACCACGTGTCCCCATCACCAAATGGGGAGCTGAGAGGACTTCTCTCTGCTCCATTGCTTGAAGCAGGTTGAGTTCTTGTTCCAGTAAGGCAAGCAAACCTGAGACAGAGAAAGGAGGAGAGAGAGAGAGAGAGATTCTCTCTTTGAGACCTGACTGTGGAGAAGCAGCAGGACACTAATCATACCATTTGAACGAAACTTCCCATCCATGTCCAAAATGAATATATGGGTGGGTGTCACACCAGGGGCAATCATACTGTTCATCACATACCATTGACATCAGTCTCCAAAGTACTTATTCCCTTTGCCTCATCTCCTCTTCCACCCTCCACCTGCACTATTCTCATGTGTTAAAGGGACAGCCTTTGTATGTTTTGGAAAACTCTGTCCTTGTAAAATTGTTTTGAATATATTTAAATGTATGACAATGGTACTGGGTTACATAACTTATTCCCTATTCTCATATATTTTACTCAGCACTGTTTTCTAGACCCATCTGTGTTGTTCTGCACATTTATAGTCTTTTACTTCCAACAGTTGTGAAACACTGCATGATCTTCACCCATCACATCTTAGCTTTCCATTCTCCCCAAGAAGGACATTAGGTTGTCTCCAACATTCTGCCTATCCCAAATGGTACTGCAATAAATACCTTGTACTTTTAGATCAGTACAACACCTTTGAGTTATATACCCAGAGGACGAATTGCTGGTCACAAGGTATGTGCTTACATAATTTAACTAAGTGCTACTCTCTGCCTATACACTCCCTCCAACAGTGCTTTTCCTAATGGCATATGTCATTTTCAATGACTTGACATAGTCCAGTACTGTAATTCCTAACAGTCTCATGGATATAACTGCTCTTTCATAGTTCTGGTTGAATTCCTTTATATGAGTATATGAGTTTGAGTTTTAACATCTCTTCATATGTTTGTTAGCCTTTTGAGTTTCTTTGCTCTATAAATGACCTGTTCATATAGTTTGTCTGC